GGTATCCAGAGGACTATCACAGTCCGTTGGCACTAAGTGCGCCGCAGGCGGTCTTTCCCTTTTTCTTTGTTGTTATCCCGATGCTGGCTCTGTAAGTGAATGTGGAAATGCACGGGCAGATAGGACAAGCAGGAAAGCCTTAGTCCAGCTGCCCATGTTCGATGGGCCCACAAGCCTACTTGCCCGTTGCTTCACCAGGCCGGCCCCAAGCCTCGAATTTCTCTTGTGGCAACAAGTTTACTTTTCTGCAAGGCTGGGGCTGTGTACTGGTGGTTTAAAACCGACGATCCACCGGTGTTCTCACAAGAATGGAAATTCCAGATTCAAGACGGTATAGGCAATTTACGTTTCAACCAAGACATCCCCCATCTGTTTCAGAGGCAATTTACGTTTCAACCAAGACATCCCCCATCTGTTTCAGATGCAGAGAGAGGGGACACATGGGGTCTGATGCTGCATGTCCACAGTTCCTGAAGCAGCAACGAGAGAAAAAGCTTCACCCCAACATGATGCTGGGGGTGGACGATGCCTCGGGAACTTGGTTCATCGTAGACCCAACCTACAATGGCTGGGTCTTTGATGACAACTTGGACGACCCGAAGTCTAAATCAGCACGTGTGGGCTTTGCCTTCCGCCATGTGCCTGAGTCTAAATCAGCGCGTGTGAGCTTCGTTTTCCACTATGTGCCTGAGGGAAATGAACTCTGCCAAATCTGCAAGGTTAACAGTGATGGGGACCCGCCCACTCTTGGCTGCACACTACGTGGACAAGACAAAAGAGTGGCAAGTTGCAACAGATGTGTCCTTCATGATTCCTAGGATCAATGAAAGGCAGGACATGGCAACCATCCTGCAGGAACAAATTACAATGGCATAGCCCCTGGGTGTCTTTGAAACAGGCACCCCGCAGGATGACGGCACTCAGCGAACACCGCAGGATGACCAGCATGACCAGGCAGACTTCATTGGCTCCCATAAGGACCAGGCCAAGCCCGATCCCAGAGCTTTCACTCCCCTCGTTGCAAAAATGCTCGAGGGTGCCAAGCTGAAAGGAGGAATGAGATGGCAACCTTGGGACAGGGTGACAACCATTCCCTACAGCGTCCTGTCAGGAAATGGCATCCCCACTGAACTGCAGGCCGCCTCACTGGCTGTTCTGATCAGCGACGAAATTTTCAACGGGGATGTTGATTTAGACTCCAGGGCTTATGCAATAGACCTGGAAAGATACTACAAAGATGAATACACTGAGGAGGAGATGGAAGATTGGATTGGGACGGATCCCGAAGCCATGTTGGAGAGTTCGCCGACCAAAGAAATCAGCGGCAGCATTGGGGAGTAAATGATGGATGATTCCCTGTCCAATATCCCGTCTGACCCGCTCGGGGACTCAGCAGATTCTAAGGAACCCGGGGGCCCAGACGCCACCTAGAGCCGGAAATATTAGCCCCTTCACGGTCACCGCTCAAGCCCAACCATGGATGTGCTTGCAAAACAAGCCAATGCAAAGTGGCTGAAGGTGGACTGGAAAACATGAGGCCTAATGATTCTCATTTTGCACATTTTGAGAGTGGTGTGGTGATGCCCGTTATTTTTTGCAAGGAACTCACCTCACTGACTGAGAAGACCACCCAAAAATCAGAAAATACTTCACAAGGAAATTAGGCGGAGTTAGGGATGAGGTGTGGGCCTCAACCAACACATCTAGTAAAAAAGGCACTTCGATTCTCATGCCAAAACCTGTGTATCTACTCGGCCGGCTCAGTACAAAGGGGATAAATGAACAACGATACAGGCAGATGGTGCCTGATGGATTTGAAATGGAAAGAGGAAGAGATCAGAATCATTAATGTCTGCACACCAAACAATCCATCAAAGAAGCCGAGTTCACACTAACAGTTGGAAAATTAGGAACCCCACTCTCAGCCTGTGTCATAGGAGGAGATTGGAATGCTATCCTGAACCCGAATAACGACTGTATCCCCGGGCAACATCCACCCAAGCTTCACAGGATGTGCCTCCAATCCACAAACTTATGAAGGACCACAACGGTGTAGCACGACGAATGTGTTCGCGCCCCTTCACGTTTGCGCGAGTTCGCACGAACGGCTCGCGAACATGTTCGGGCAAACATAATTTTTTTCCGTAAAAAAAAAACACAATGTTTTCGGTTTTTGATTTTTAACTTTTTGATTTTTAACTCGTGATTGGCTACGAACTTGAACATGACTCCAAGGCAAAAGTTGCTTGTATTGTTATTTTACATAACATATAGTTTTTTCAGCGCCTCCCGTTCGCCTCCGAACGCGAGCGCGAACGCGAACACGGTGCTACGTAGGACCACAACATAGTGGATCCGTTCCTTACTTTGTACTCGGGCAGAAAAAACCTTCTCCCTGGTCAAGAAGAACCACGCGCATCACACGACCTTCTCCTGGATTGATTACTTCCCCGTCTCTGAAGCCTTAATGAGAACTGTCAATGACGCAGACATCCTGGCTCTTGCATCGTACTTTGGACTGGACCACAAGCCAATAAAGCTGATATTCAGCTTTTAACAATGTTTATCCAGGGGAGCCAGTTTTCACAAGTTTAATAATTCCCTTCTCCTGAGCCAGACTTTTCAAGACAGCATTCACGAATGCTGGCAAAATTCAAAAGGCATCTTTCTAGAAGGCCAAGACAGATGCGAATGGTTCCAAGACAGTTACCTCCAGTTATCTCTCTGTGTCCTAGTTGGCGGCTCGTATCTCTAAGAAACTAGATCAGAAGCGAAGAAACAAATTCTTGAAATAACACTCAAAATTGTCGAGACAAACTTGATAAACAACCCATCCTCACCAATCTACTCCTTAGCCTTCGAAAAAACTCGGAAGGGGGGATTACAACTCAAGGTAAGGATGAATGAATATGAACTGAATGAATCAATGACAAATTCTTCTTTGCAAGAATAAAGGCCAACAATAGATCAAGCTCTATAGAAGCCCTCAAAGAGACGGTTGGCGACCAGTCCACCAAAAAGGACAGCGAAGGAATGCTAAAAATAGCCAAGGAATTCTACCAAGAGCTGTACCACACCGAAACCTCCTCTCTCACTCCTACTCCCATAAGGGAAGCAAGTCGAAGATTCTCCGTTTCCTAGACAGAATCATCTCCCAGGATCAGGCAGATGTACTCAATAACCCAATTACCTTAGTGGAACTGCAATTCGCGGTTCACAGTATGAACGATTAGACCCCAGACATTGACGGCTTGACTAAGGAATTCTGGGAGAAGTTTTGGCCCATGATGGGGCTACCAGGATAGTTGGGAAAAGGAAGATTTGGGAGAGCTACTGAGCAGCAGTGCCATGACATTACTATACAAGAAGGGGGATCGGAAAGACATCCGAAATTACAGACCCATCTCCCTGTTCACCCTCCCCTGCAAGATCTTGGCTACAGCACTGGCCAACCGGATCTTAAACCTCACTGACAAATGCTTTCACATAGACCAGGCTAGCTTTATTCCAGGAAGATACATTCTAGATAGTGTTCTAAGTTCTAACCTTAAACGAGAAAAAAGACGATGGTAACCGCCTGGACGTCCGGACCGGGTTCCAGACAGTCCGGTGTCCGGTGTCCGGTGTCTGGTCCTGATGTCCGGATGGAGGCCCTTGGGGAGAAAATCAAAAAAAAAAATGGGGCGACCCAGGACGTTTATCGGGTCCTGGCCGCCCCTCGAAAAATAACGGGGTGATTTTTCGGTGTCATTTCACCCCACCGGACAGGGCCTAGAGGTCTGGACACAAGACACTGCAGGTTTCTGGGGTGGTGGGTTTCACACAGGCCCGAGCAATTTCAAGGTGCCCGCCGCTGCTGCCCGTTGGGGGAGAGAGAGAGAGAGAGAGAGAGAGCATTGACAGTGCTGCCAGTCTGAAGACTCTGACGTTCTGAATTGAACTGCAAAGTTTGAACTTTTAAGTTGTGTATGAAGTTATGAACTTAAATTACTAAATCCAAAGTTCAAAGTTCAAAGTTAGTCGTACTTTTTTCAACAAAAAAAAAAATCTCTGTTTCTTTAGTCTTGTGCCTGCTTTGCACTGTTTGCAACTCTGCATGTTGATTTGCTGCAAGACACGTGCTCTGCTGCCTGAACTACAAAGTGCAGAGCAGGTAAGTGCCTGCCAACACCCCTGCCCCCCCCCCCCCCCCCGTTTCTTTTTTTTTTTTGGTCCGTACATTTGTGCACCCCTGGCACCGGTCCGGACTGTCCGGGAGTCCGGTAATGTCCGGATCACCGGACAGTCTGGACCGGTCCAGACACTGGTCCGGAAGACAGTCCGGAATTGTCCGGTGTCTGGGTCCGGGGTTACCATGAAAAAGACTAAACACAACAATCTTGTCCTTTGATTTCGAGAAAGCCTATGATCAAGTCAATCGGGCTTTCTTCAACGCAAGCATGGAAAAATGGGCGTTGGACCCAACTTCAGGGAGTGTGTCAGAGTGCTCTATAACGATGCATCAGGAGAGTTCTCTATAACGATGCATCAGGGTGTGTTCAGGTCAACGGTCTTTTGTTTGAATCCTACCCAATTTCAAGATCAGTGCGAGAGGGCTATCCCCTAGCTCCGTCAATCTTCCTATTTGTAATGGAAGCTATTCCTTCCTTCTTACGCAAAGACCCCTCGATATAAAGAGTCCCAGAGCTCAATGTCGGTACCCCTCACCACATCCAATTCCCAACAGTCATAATGCTTGCTGATGATCTCATGGTGCTTATAAGAGCGTCGGATTCCTCGGTGAAAGTGTTTGTCAGGGCAATGGAAGCTTTCAGGCTGGCCTCTGAAATGAAAAGCAACTGGGAAAAAACAGCAGGTTGGTGGCTTGCAGAGGAAGAAACACCCAGGATGGAAGGTCCGGAAGCAGACATGACATGGGAAAAACCGGAAGAGCCGACGAGATACCTGGGATGGAAGCCCCCCCTTACAGAGGCACAAAACCTGCTAACTAATCAAATCAACAGAATAGGACGATGGGGGAATACGTTCACATCGTTGTTAGGAAGGGCCCTGACCATCAACACATCTATCTTTTCCATGATGTGGTATATTTCCTCCATCTGGGCCATACCTGATCACACAACCAAGGAATTGAACCGCAGAGCCAGGGCATATCTCTGGCCAGATGACCCTAACAAAACTAAATACATACCCAAATAGCCTGGCATGATGTAACAAGAAGGCCATCAAGAGAATCAGGAAAAGCAGAAAGAGATTCTGGCAAAGTTCACGAAAGTATGGCTGGTCAATGGAAAGGTTGTGAGCATTCATGGATGTCACCTCAGATGGAGAGATTGGTACAACTCCTACCCGCTGCAGAGAGTACGGGGCAATCACCTCCCACAGCCTCAAGACTTCATAGCCTCATAGCTCGGACATGTGACTATAGGCACACCTACAAACAACCTGGTCACGGCACTTAAGAGCTACAGCAGGTCTTCTCTCTGTGTTTCTTGCGTTTAACTCTATCTGACAGGGTCTCTGATTAAGACTCTGAGAGGAATCACAGGGAAAGGCAAGCTGACATCCAATCCTCCAAGTGGAGTGATCAATGCTGATCAGGGATCCTTCGGCCAGACGGAAGGATGCGTGAGTGGGTATATGATGGAATACTGCTACTTTGACTTGCGGGGGGAAAGGGAACCGGACTTACGCTCCCCAGAATGGATATGGAGCCAGGATCATAAGGACCTGCTTTTTTTTTTTAAGAGAAGAAAGAAAAAGGCTTACAAAGTAAATGCATTGCTCAGTGCTCACAGACTAAAATGCATTGTCTTGCAGGATCAAGGCCAAGCACAGGGAACATAAGGCCATTGCCTCAGCCTCCTCAAGAACATGAAGAGGTACATTTTGTGTTCATGCATATCCTTATTCGTTTTCTTTACTGTGGATTGTAAAAGCAGTGCAGATTTATGTCCCATCCTTGGTGAGATTGCAGTTGTAATTACTGCAAGGTTTTGGGTGACTGGCTGCTATGAAGGGACCCCACATCATATGGGAACATTGAAAAAAAAGAAGAGAAAAGGTGGCTTCATCATAAGCTGCTGTGGATTTGGCTTGTAAGTACACAGCCTGGGCTCCTACATGCGCAGTCGGGAATTTTCTGAGTGTCATCTACGGTATGTCATTTACTGAGATCCTTTGCAGATGACCATGTCGTTTTAATAGCTGACTAACCTATTTTGGAAAGTCTGTCCTCTGGTTCCCTCACATCTGGTGAACACTGTTTCAGTAAGGCTTTGCATTGTTGTCAGTCCAGCTGTGGCATGCACGAGCGTGCCACACAGGCCCTGGGCGGCCCAGACTCAGTTCAGAGGCGGGCAGACTACTACTACTACTACTGCTACCACGACGACTACTACCACTACTACGACGACTACTACAACGGCTACTACTATTATGACTACGATGACTGCGACGATTGCAACCACTACGACGATGATAGCGATGATGACTACTACTACGACGATGACGACGACGACTACGACTGCTGCCTAACTAACTATCCTGAAAGTGCAAGGAACATGAGTATAAACGAAGCACAGAAATCCAGAATGCAAAATCACACTGAAGTCCAAGTATTCAAAGCCAAAGCAGATAGCACATGGAACCGASTARYSATCCCATTGAGAATGATACAGAAGAATCGTGAGTCAATGTCCATGCCCAACAGGGCAACACCAACAGCATAACCCAAATGTAGCTCTCTCTTGTGAATGGCGCCAGGCGCCCTATCTTCTCTACAGCCTATCCTACAACTACAGCAATGAACAG